AAACTAACTAACAGAAATGGTAGCCCTAGCTGTAAACTACAAGAAACTGTAAAGGCGGGTGAAATTTTCCAAGTAGAATCAAAATGAAAAAACAGTTTCAAAAATCGAGTTTTTCATACTAGTCAGTTGACCTTGAAAAGGAGGAGAGACATTGGCCAACTGCGGCACTCACAAACAGAAACTGTGGATGGCAACGATCATTGTCATAACTAAAAAACTACAACGCTTTTACAAATGTTTCTCCGTAAAATAAAAAGACAGCAGCAACACTGCGTAAAGGTTGTCAAAACCTAACAACATCAATTGCAAATAAAAAAGGACACCTACTTTTTAGCCTGGTAAACGGCGTATTCGCCGATGGTGGACTCGCCACCCTCGCTGACGCAAAACCATGTCGACTTTCCTCGGATGTCGACGTTGTTGTCCAGCGGTTGCTTGAGCTGCGTCCTCAAGTCAACCGGAAACTTGCCGTGGCTGGCGGCAAGAACCCCAGATGAAAACATACTGAGGTCTAGAATTTAAAACAAAATTAGAAAATAAAAATTAATTGACACTTGTTAACATACCAAGCCCCAGAAAGGAAGGTAAATTTTTAATCAGCACTATGGAGTGCTTCATAACTTCTTCCTTCAGACCGCCGCAGCTGGTCTCCACGGTGATGGTGGGAGGGAGGAGGACGGCCCCGGGAACGCATCGGGTCGCCGGCGATGGGTGAGCAGGTGGAAGCGGCGTCTCGCCACTATCCGACCAGATGTTGCTGCTGGTGATGACGGTGGGAGGCAGGCCCTCACTGGCGGCCACACCACTCTTCGATGTTGATGGGAGGGAGGCGGAAGAGGCCATGGTGGCAACTTAAAGAAAACAGTGTTCTTGAAGTTGACGAGTCTCAATTAAGAGTGAAGAACACGTGGAAAAGAAAAACAAAGCAGCCGCCGAATGTACTCAAGTGGTCACCGCTGTCCGGAGGATACTCACTTGTGTGGTCGCCGCCGCTCGATGGAAGTAATAGTAGAATCAGCTTAAGTTAAGCCGTGAGAAGACCTAAACAGGATGTAAAAATGGTTGAACAAAGAATCTAAAGTTTATTTTGTTTGTGAACTTATCTGAAAAAAAGACATTGAAAGCGAAAGTAAAGCCTGTAGATGGAGAGAGAGAGAAACAATTAAGAAAAGCACTTTAACTAGTGAACAAAAATTTGAGTTTATCAAGTAATATTTTAAATTTTTGATCAAAATTCTCACCCGCCTTTTCAATTTCTAGTAGTTTACGACTGGGGCAACCATATCTGCTAGTTAGTTAAATTNGAGAAAAACAATTAAGAAAAGCACTTTAACTAGTGAACAAAAATTTGAGTTTATCAAGTAATATTTTAAATTTTTGATCAAAATTCTCACCCGCCTTTTCAATTTCTAGTAGTTTACGACTGGGGCAACCATATCTGCTAGTTAGTTAAATTGAAAAGTACTCACGGCCCGTGCGGCCACTGTTTCAAGGTTAACGGAATAGTATTAAAAAACTCGATTTGGAAAATGATTTTTCATTTAGATTTTGTTTGGAAATTCTTACTCAATTTTAGCACTCAATGGGAACTCCCCTGCAAACCTAAGAATTGGGCAAACGATGTAGACCAAATGCTCTATAGCCCATGTGAGCAAATGAAAAATGTGAAAGACATCCAAATCGGCTGCGTCCAAGATTTCTGTGATATCAAATTGCCACCACTAATTGATCGAGTAAAGCAGATTAAAAAACTGATGAACAGTTTGCTCAAATTGGAAACCACAAAAAAGGCAAACAAATAGAAAGATTAAGCCAATTTATTACAGAAAATTATTACAGAAATTATTAAAGAAAATCAAAGTTTTATTCAGTTTATGGAGCAAATGGATGAACGAATCAAGGAGCTGGCCAGGCTCAAGCTCAACCACGGCGGCATGAGCGCAGCCTTTTTGGGCCTAATGGGCGGTTTGGTGGCGGTGATGGTGGTGGTGCTTGCTGTTGCTGCTGCTGCTGCTGCTGCTGCTGCCGAGCCTGCTTCTTCCGCGCAGCTCTTTTTACGTTCTCCTCTTCCTTTTTGGCCTCTCTGGCCGACTCCATACGAGAGCGTTGCTCTCGGCAACGCCGCTTGTACCGGCGCTGCAGTGCAGGGTCAGCGAGGCGCCTTCGCTGCTCTGCTTCTTCAGCCGGCCAGTCATCCCCTGCAAAAAGGTCCACCACCAGTTTTCTACGGCGGCTGGTGTTCTGCAGGTGGTGGATGCTGGTGTGGGCGATGATGTTGCCCCGCTTCCGGCCCCTGAACACGCACACCTTTACCCCCTCACGGAAACCACAGCCAAAGGTTTTTAAACCCTGGTGGTAGCGGAGGCTGTGCTCAGCTGGGCTCCCGTGAGTTGGCAGGTGGCAAAGGGCGCCTTTGCAATCAGCAATAGCCCCATCATCTTCATCCTCATCATTGTCGTCGCCGTTGTCGTCGCCGTCGCCTTCGCCGTTGCCGTCGTCGTCGTCGTCATCCTCTTCATCCTCATCATCATCATTGTCGTTGTCGTTGTCGTTGTCGTTGTCGTTGCCGTCGTCGTCGTCGTCATCCTCTACTTTTTTTATCATCCTCTACTTTTGACCATCTTTCCAAAATCCATCTTTTTGCACACACTCACTTTAAAAAAACGACAAATTTAAACAAACTTTTTATTAGTTTTTTATTGCCCCCCCCCACCTCCGACACTCTGACGCTGCTACTGCCGCGGCCGGGGGCAAATTCCATCCAGACCGCCACGTCGTTAAGCAGGCCGGCGTTGGCCAAGCTGTCGGCCAACTTGGCCAGCCACTTCTTGCCGAAGAAAATCGGCAAGCCGCTGATTAGCGGCTTGCCGGTTTTCCTGGCGCTACCAGTGTTGGTGCTGGCGCTGCTGCTCTTGCTGCTGCTGCCGTTGCCGTCGTCGTTGTTGCCGTTGTTGTTGCTGAGCAATGCCCAGCTGAATTTGCTGGAGTCCCAGCTCCAGCACTCGTTGCAGGTCCACCTGCGCCCGATGCAGCTCCTGCTGCTGCCCCTGAATCCGGCACTGCTCAACGTACAGGCTCTTCAGCTGGGTTTGCCAACTTCCCGCTGGTTGAGCAGCACTTGGGGGGAAAAACAGCCGGTGCTGGTACGGCTGGTAGGGCTGGGGCTGGGGCTGCTGGTACAGCTGGTGCTGCTGGTACAGCTGGTGCTGCTGGTGCTGCTGGGGCCACTGGGGCTGCTGGGGTTGCTAAGGCTGCTGGTGCTGCTGCTGCTGCTAGTGCAGAGACGGGCCCACCGGCCGAAAGTCCACCTCGTCCTCGGGTTGAGGCCGAGGCCTAGGTTCAGGCCGAGGGCTTATCCAGCGCCTTGGAGGCTGAGGCTGCGGCTGCGGCGACTGCTGCTGCTGGTCCATCTGAAAAAGACAAAAAAGAGTATTAGTAAAAGTCATCTTGCAAACACATGAATACTTACTGAGGAGGCAGTGAGAGCGAGGGGAGTGAGAGAGGGGAGTGAGTGAGAGACAAAGAGACAGAGAGACAGTGAGACAGAGAGACAGACTTGCTGTCATCAATGCGCTTGTTGGTGCTAAATGCTGTGATAACGTGGGTTCTTATACCCAACCCGCACCAGTCCACTACACGCAAACACTCATCATTGCAGCTGCATCAGAGAGGGGGGCTGTTTTCCATGTGCCATTTCCTTCCCTCCCCCGACATGTTCGTGCAACGCATCGTAGACGAGATTGTTTCATGAGTTTATAGCACTGTTTTATACGCTTTGTTTTTTTGTAAACCATTTTATTTTTTTCTACGCAAGCACAAGTGTGTACTCGCAGTGAAAATAACAAAAATAAGTCATATAAATTAAAAAAAATACAACCATTTCAGATCTACTGGACAAAGTAGTCATCGTCTTGAGATTCATCGTTTGGCCAGCCTGTCCAAGTTTCGTAAATGTCCCAAAACTCTCTGAGCCGATTTTTATCATTAGAGCAGAAAGCTTTAAAATCATCCATGATTTTTCGCATTGAATGCTCGTCTCCGGTGACATTTGTCTTCCAGCGTTTAGTGATCATGTAGTTCCAGCACCACAGAAAGCCAATCTACAAACACCCTCTAATTAGCTTTGCTGAACACTCTTGCAAACAAATCGTCTCACCTTGCTCATATTGTGCACACTTTGTCCGGTAGTTTGCATGCCACTGAAATGTCTAGTGATGTACTCTTCATGCGGACTGCAGGCCATTTCGAGATCATTAGGCTGCAAACAGAAATTTTTATATAAAAGGTATATTTTATTATCATTTTCGGGTATTACCATGAGAAATTTTCCTCGTTTATTAAGATTCTTTGAAGGCGACGAAGCAGGATTTTTGTTGGGAATCATCACGAAAATACTACCTGATACGTGCACAAAGTTTCGCTGATTGTCAGTGCTGGGATCACAGAATGGAATAAACCCAAACTTGACCAAAATTTTTTCCTGAAAACTAAACAATCCTTCAGCTGTAAGGAGACAATATTGTCATTTACTGGGATGAATAGAAAGCACTGTTATAACTATACCGTCGAGCACTTTGGTTGATGAAGTTAGACAGTCAGCGTTAAGTGAAATGTAAATTGGCCCTCGCAGTGGGTCAGATTTGTTTGAGAAGGGAAGTGCAAATGGGTCCCAAGGAATTGGAACTACACAACAAAATTACGTCAAGTTAGAATATCGCGCTGAAATGTGTAATTACCAATGTGAAGATTGTTTGGCTGTGCAAACTTGGTTCTACTCCAAGAATTGACTATCTCCGGAATAGCGTTTCCTGTGGCGACCATCCACTCGATGACCATCTCAAAGGCCTGATCAGGGTCAAATAAACTACAAATTGTTCAGTTAAAATGAGTTTGCAGAAAAATAAAATTGTACCTATGGTATTTGACGTTCACCCACTCAACCCGACCACTTTTGCCTCCATTTTCTACATCAAACATCAGGTTCTTAAAGGTAAATTTATCTGTGGTGGAAAAATGTTAGACAAGTTTACGACAATTTAAAATCAAACCTTCAGGCTTGTTGCTTGACATAATTTCACTTGAGTCTTCGTAGAAATTCTCCAGCTGCTTCGAATTGAACTGGTGCACGACACCCACCTCCATCCAATCACGCTCAAAAGTACTAATGTCCATTTTGTACTTTTCAAAGTATTTTTTCGATTCGTCGTCAACGATGCAGTAGAAGTAGAAGCCTCGGTTGAACTCTTTAGTTTCATCTCCTGAAGCATGTCTTATTAAACCATTGGTCTGCAGAGACTTGAACAGCATCTCAGCACTTGCTTCGGTTTCATTCTCACAGTTGACAGCCCACATGAGGGCATCACAGCCAATAAAAGTGTTTGGAGGGAGATATTTCGATTTGATGAAGAGGTCACTACTGAAATGTTTAAAAAACGTTAAAATTAAAATAAAGTTTTCAAACATGGCAAACATTGTTATTACTTTCTCAATTTTTCGATAATTTTCAACTGGCTCGTGTGCTCGCCTTTTTCCGAATCAACTTTCATTGCCATTCTTGAACTAGTTTCACTAATGGTACTCAAAAGACTTTCTGCCGGTTGTGAATGTCGTGTGTAATTTAGCGAGTCCAACTTTTTCAGGCCAGCAAAGGAAGTGTTTGGAGTAGTACTATTGCGCCGATTGGGCGCTCGACTGGAACTGTCATTTCGCAGCATGTTCACCACATGTTTACTGTGAGTGTTCTTTATCCGATTGAAAACTTCAAGTAGCTTCAAAAAGGCAGCCTGGTGGTCTCTCTTTTCCTCCGATGTAAAGACATGGTAAAGATCACAGTCGAAACGTTCCTCGCATTTGGTGTACTTTTCAATGATCACCTTTGTAATGGAGTGCATGGTCGGCAGGACGAGAAGTCGAAAGCGCCAAAACTTGAGACTGTCAATGAGCTGGTAGTCACTGTCAGCACGAAGGCAAATGTAATTATCGAGATAGTTCCACTTGTAGTTCTCCAAACGTTCACCAGCAAACTCCACCCAAGAGATGCCATAGGTATCATTGTCTGGTGTGCGAATTCGGTAGCAGTACTTGATGTTCTTGGCAATACTCACATGCCGAGGGTGGTAATAGGTGATGGTGATCTTACTTTCTCGCAAAAGAAGCTCGTGGTATATTCGACCAATGCTGAGAATGTACATGCACTTGTCGTGGCTTTGGTCATCCAGAGTGCTGAGCATCTCTGCCTTGGGCTGAAGAATCAACTGAAAGCCTTGCTGCAATCTCTGGCAAATCATTTCAATGTAAACCCTTTCAGTTGTATGCGTATGCTCCTTCTTGTTCAATTCCTCTTCTTTCTTGAACAGTTTTTCTTGAAAGAAATCGTTGACCTGATCTTCTGGAAGGAGATCATACGCATAAAATTCGTAACACTGACGCAAAGTTTGCTTGTCAGGCAAAAAATCTAAACAACACAAATTTAAATACATTACTAAAGTTAAAATCAAGAGTTAAATACCTGTGGTAATTGGCAAACAGGCCGGCATGACAAGTGACTGTTGAAAAAAAATAACGAGTTGCAGTGAATCAGTCAAAAAAGAGTTCTCACAAGTACCTTCCAGTCGACGCCAGTTGTGATGGCACTTGTCCACGGGAGTTCGCCTGGTTAGTGAAAAGCCTGTATAATTAGACAATCAACTTTACATTATTTATGCACATTGTACCTGTGGCTCCCCAGGCCCAAAGAGAGCTATTGTCAGTCAACAGAC